ACCCCCTTGGGCCTCATCGCTTAAATAACGCATGTTAGATTTCAATGGCAATAGTTAATTCTTACATGTTCTATGTTTGAGCTGCTTTTGAAAGCAAAAGTTGAATTGAAAACATTATTGGCATTGTTGAATTCGATTTTCATAATAGCAAGCTAGGACTGATGGTTTGGTTAGCTAAACTGGCAAATCTGTTTGTTTGGTTACCAAGGCAACTACTGTAGCTATCTTGTAAACTTTCTAGCTACTTCAGTGGATGTTGAACACATTTCTACCGGCAAATGAACACATTTTGCATAGCCCCTAATTCATTATTCCTTACTAATACCATAGATATTTATAACTAACCCAAGATAGTTCATCTGTGTTGTTTACAGAGTTAGCAAATGAAGCATAGTGGACAGAACAAGCAAGGAGATGGGCAAAGCCAAGAACTAGCTAGAAAGATCCTATATTGGCATGTTGCAGCATTTATTTGCATATTTCCATTAAGGAATGCCTCATCTGTGAAGTGCAAATGTGCACAAACTCAATTCGACCTTGCACCCCTTCTAAACAACGTTTTTTTTTTTTTTACTTTGGCAAAGCTTCAAGTCTCTAAAACTTAGTGCACCAGGGCTGCCAACTTTTGAAGAAAGCTTGAAGTGAGATTTGCTATGTGAATTTCATTGCCCCCTGGCACTACCCTTAGACAAAGATTTTACTTTTTTTAAAGCTAATTTCCTGCAATTCTATCTATGTTGACATGGCTTAGGCCTATGACCAGGGTGGACAATTGAAAAATTAAAACCACAGGTCAGGTGTATTCAGGATGCTTTGAACATTAAAGGAACATTCAAAATTCGACTACTTTGAGATTTTTGAGGGATGAAATGTAAACATTTACATTTACATTTTAGTCATTTAGCAGACGCTCTTATCCAGAGCGACTTACAGTTAGTGCATACATTATTTTTTATACTGGCCCCCCGTGGGAATCAAACCCACAACCCTGGCGTTGCAAACGCCATGCTCTACCAACTGAGCTACATCCCTAAAGTATGCTAATATTTGTTTAAACATATTTTTTAGGTGGTTTGAGACTTTATTCAGACAGGGATGAAATGAGATAGGGAGACAGGCAAATGCTAGAAACGTGGGAAGGTTGGAAGCAGGGATTGATCCCTGTTCTCAGGTGGAAAGTTGTATGCGGCATGTGCTGGGGAGTGTTACCACTAAACTAAGGCTCTGCACAGGACATTTTAAATGTTAATATTAATGGCTAATGGCAGTTGGTAACCAAATCATAGATTGCAGTCTCCTTGTCCATAGACTGATTTCAAGGTAAGGTCACAAACATTTAGTATTTTGTAATTTGGGTGAACAATGTCTTTAAAAATAGGGATGGAAGAACATGTTGCTTGCTCTCCATGAGGGTTGGCCACCCCTAATCTATGTTTCCCAAATGATGGGTGTTTGAAAATGTTCTTGTTATAACAATTAACTTCTCAAAAATCTAATGAATACCAATATTCAGGTGGTTTATGCCTACTAGTTGAAGATCCTTGCCATCATCTTACTCTACATAGAGAAAATATGATCTGTTTATGAGTTGTGAGTCCCCCTAAAATGTCAGTAAAAAATATTTGATTCCTGGAGAATTTAATATCCAATGCTTATTTGTATGACTTATACAAAACTGTCCATGAATGGCTGCAAAAATACATAGCGTCATATAATACATTTTCAAAGACACAAGCATCAGATTTCAAATACAGTGCATTCTGAAAGTATTCAGACCCCTTCCCTTTTTCCACATTTTGTTACGTTACAGCCTTATTCTAAAATGGATTAAATAAAACATTTTCCTCTTCAATCTACACATAATACCCCACAATGACAAAGTGAAAACAGGTTTAAAAAAATAATAATTGCACATTTATTCAAAATTTAAAACAGAAATACCTTAATTACATAAGTATTCAGGCCCTTTGCTATGAGACTGGAAATTGAGCTCAGGTGCATCCTGTTTCCATTTATCATCCTTGAGATGTTTCTCCAACTTGATTGGTGTCCATCTGTCTATATAAGGTCCCACAGTTGACAGTGCATGTCAGAGCAAAAACCAAGCCATGAGATCGAACATCTCTGGAGAGACCTGAAAATAGCTGTGCAGCGACTCTTCCCATCTAACCTGACAGAGTTTGAGAGGATCTGCAGAGAAGAATTGGAGAAAATCCCCAAATACAGGTGTGCAAAGCTTGTAGCGTCATACCCAAGAAGACTTGAGGCTGTAATCGCTGTCAAAGGTGCTTCAACAAAGTACTGAGTAAAGGGTCTGAATACTTATTTAAATGTGATGTTTTTGTATATTTCTCTATACATTTCCTAAAATTTATAAACCTGTTTTTGGTTTGTCATTATGGGGTATTGTGTGTAGATAAGTTACAAAAAAATCAATATAATCCATTTTAGAATAAGGCTGTAACATAACAACATGTGGAAAAAGTAAAGGGGTATGAATACTTTGCGAATGCACTGTATGTGATTACACTGGCAAAATTGTGAAGAAGTGGAATAATAAAATAAGTGTGGGGAATAACAGTAGTGTTCTTGCTGACAAGCATGGTAATTACCCTATATTTTAACCCACTGTTAAGAATGTGAATTGTTCCACTGATCAGACTAAATAAAGTAAATAGGTAATACAATCTCCTGAAGACAGGATGACATACATCTGCCCCTACACTCTAACCAAATAATTTGTCTATGTATTGTCCCCCCTCTAGACTCAAATTTACACTTTTGGGTTCACAATCTGTTTGACAAAATGATTTTCATAGTTACAAATCAGGTCACCCTACCAAACATCCCTGCTAAAACATACTGTAGGTATGTCTGCTACCTTTTCGTTGTCACAGCCTCCATGCCAATCACCAAACGAGGGGACTAATGCAAGTGTGGATTAAATCGATTTTAATACATGCTGTCAAAGGGCTTTTTTGTGCCGTTCTCTCTCTCAATTCAACTCAATTATAATCTTAAGGGGCGTTTCTTTAAAACATGCATCCAATCCCCTTGATCCCTTACATAACTAGACCAATCATATGCTTCAATGTGTCACGGTTCACAGTGCTGTGACAAGACAGTACAATGATAGAGGTTCCTCTCGTGATGTTAAATTGCAGGCGCAGATGCTCCGATTTCAAAACGATTTGGAGCACAGATGAAAAGTTAACGCGCTGACTATACAATGGACTAATTAGAAAAATAAAAACAGTACTTTCCAATGTGTGAGATATAAGAGGTTTGCCGTGAGAGCGTGAGAACGGTCAAATGCGTGCCTCACGGTTAATGCATGAGAGTTGGCAGCTCTGGTGAACTGTGTTCGTAACAGAATCTTGTTTTTGGAACAGAAAAATTTATTGAGATCAGACTTCATCAATGAGAATTAGCAGAATGTCGGCCCAGTTTCACCTAGTTCAATCCTCTCCCACTACTGGACTTCCCTATGACTACCATATTTGGTGGTGAGAACATTCTAAATGAATGCTTCAGCTTTATAACCCTTGTGATGTGTCTGGGTTAACCCTTCTGTCTGTGCTTATACCATGTCGTTGTTTAATACTCGTTTCTGATTGCCTTGAAAGGGATTCTAGAGAGTGCATTATTTCCCTATAAGGCACGGTATATCAACATAGTATAATTAAATGGCTATAGTTCATTCTTACATGTTTTGTTTGAGCTGCTTTTGAAAGCAAAAAGTGATTTGAACACATTTGAACACATTATTATGCAACTCTGTGGAAGGTGTGTTCCATGACGCACTTGCGGAGTGTTGGAACTAACCTTCCACAGAGTTGCATAATTTTCCAGAGAACACAGAGCCCCAAGTTTTTTATCCCTATTATACAAGAGCTATAAATGTACAAATGTGCCTAGAAATGTGTTCAAATGTGTTCAAATCACTTTTTGCTTTCAAAAGCAGCTCAAACAAAACACGTCGTTCATTATTCTCCATAGAACGCATAGCCCCTCCTTGATTATCCCTTACATAATTGTCTATCCCACCATCAATGTACCACTACAGAAAATTCACAACTGGTTAAAAAATCAATGGCACAGTAGCCTGCTCTAAAACCCAAGAATCAATGGTAGGCTCATTTGTTATTATTTACATTATATCTTAGCAAATTGTGTTAAAGTAAATTAACTGCATACCTCTTCCCTCCCTCTTCTTCTAAACTGTATGTCTGTGTAGTACCGCTAGGCAATAGTGAGTGCATCATAGCATACGGAACGTGCAGTGTGCAGGAGCAGTGAAGGGGAAAATCGAGGGGAAAGAACGAAACAGCCGCTGTCGGATTCTTATCCATAAGAACACCAGTAAAATTCCACCAGAAGAAGAAAAGGGGGACAGGAAAGACAGCTTGCAGGCGTCATCATTGAGGGGAACCACAGAAGTATGACTGGACAGTAAACTGTTCCACGAATTCATAATTTCCCATCATATTCCACTGTCATAGAACTGAATGCAGATCCTATGTGCGCACGCAGGAGCACAAAGCGGAGGTTTGGGAACCAAATTGTGTCCAACACCAACACTGAAATCGGATGTGCAGTATGTATGGAGCCGTTTAATCTTGACCAAGGGTTATAATCACAGTAACCAACGATTAATTAATGACCTACAAAATCCTAATTGCTGGATGGGGCGTGGAAACAATTTCAACCTTTAACCCAAGGTGTGGACTTCACAGATGAGGACAGTGTTGAGCCAACCTGCATTGATTGCTCTAGCCTGGGAGGGGGATGATCAGCAGCGACGCACGAAATAATAAACTGTTCAAAACCTGAACTGCGACGGACGCGTTTGGATAGAAGATGATCCTATGCGTAATTGTTTTTTAGCAGACTACTTTTTGGATGAAGATCTGTTTGTAGTGATTGAATTGACATTATTCCTTTATTTTCATGGATTTGAAGTGCAGTAGTAGTAACAGTATGTGGAGAGGGGACAGTGCATGATTAGTTCGTTACAGAACGCACTTTCCACGCCTTATTTCCAATTCCGAGATATTGCGCACAACATAAGGTCAATTACTGCAACTACAACGAAGTCCTGTACAGAAATATACTTTATATTGAACCCTTCAGATTATTTCTCTCGCTGCTGTCATCATAGTATGTCTGCACTTCGAAAGAAATTTGGGGACGACTATCAGGTAGTGACCACCTCATCCAGTGGGTCTGGATTCAACCAGCCGGCACCAGAGAAGAAGAAGAAGAGGCAACGCTTTGTGGACAAGAACGGGCGATGTAACGTCCAGCATGGAAACCTGGGTGGTGAAACCAGTAGATACCTTTCCGATTTATTCACTACACTGGTTGATTTGAAATGGCGCTGGAATTTATTCATCTTCATCCTAACATACACGGTGGCATGGCTCTTTATGGCCTTCATGTGGTGGATCATAGCCTACATCAGAGGAGACCTCCATCGAGCCCACGATGACAAGTATACGCCATGCGTTGCCAATGTCTACAACTTTCCCTCAGCGTTTTTATTCTTTATAGAAACGGAAGCCACAATAGGATATGGCTATAGGTATATCACGGACAAATGTCCTGAGGGGATAATTCTCTTTCTTTTCCAGTCAATCCTGGGATCAATCGTTGATGCTTTTTTGATTGGCTGCATGTTCATTAAGATGTCCCAGCCCAAAAAAAGGGCAGAGACATTGATGTTTAGTGAACATGCAGCTATTTCGATGCGAGATGGAAAACTAACTCTCATGTTCAGAGTCGGCAACCTGCGTAATAGCCATATGGTCTCGGCACAGATCCGCTGCAAATTGCTGAAAGTAAGTGGCACTTCTACGGCCCCATGCCCAATAATATATGTGTATTAAAACGTTAGTACCCCATTTACTTCTGTCATGAGTGTTTAGTTTTCTTATTGTTTAATTTCGCCACAATTACACATAAAATACTTTATTATAAAGTTAATTATTCTCTGCTGATATGATATTTTAATACCAGTATTGCTCTTTTATCGCGTTAGAGATATTTATAATGATATGAACGTAGGCCTAATTAAACATAGAATAATGGATTTCTAGAGCCTACTTTTATGAACAATCGTTTTTTCACGTTCTTTGCAAATAGGCCTACCAATGTGAATTAACACTTAAAGCAATTAATTCCAGGGAAGTTTAGTGGCAATGCTATTCATATAGCAATAATAATGTTACCATTATACAGGCCTCCTGAAGTAGAAGAGAGTCACTGGGTCATCAACATCTTAAGATGTGCCTTTGATGTGGCTTGATGTGCCTGATTAGCTATAGCCAGAGCTATATATGGCTCTGGCTATAGGCATTGATTTACTAACTCTGTCTATTTACAGGTGATTGATCTCACAAAATGTGGATAGCTTTCAGTAGGGCTCACTGGGTTGCAGTAGTTAAACTGTTTGTTGTCCCCCCCCTATCTATCTATCTATCTATCTATCTATCTATCTATCTATCTATCTATCTATCTATCTATCTATCTATCTATCTATCTATCTATCTATCTATCTATCTATCTATCTATCTATCTATCTATATCTATCTATATCTCCCTCTCTCTCTCTCTCTGTCTCTCTTTCTCTTGCTATCTCTGTATACTTCCATAGTCTCGTCAGACGCCTGAAGGTGAGTTTCTTCCACTGGATCAGTTGGAATTGGACGTGGGCTTCAGTACCGGGGCGGATCAGCTCTTCCTTGTCTCACCACTTACAATCTGCCATGTGATTGACACTAAAAGCCCATTTTACGAACTCTCCCAGAGATCCATGCAAACAGAGCAGTTTGAAATTGTGGTCATATTGGAAGGAATAGTGGAAACCACTGGTAAGTTATCACAAATACCTTGTTTGTTTTTCTTTCTTGCAGTATTATTAAAGACCAGAGGCCTTTCGGCCTATTGTATATCTATGCCCTGAGATAAACTAGTGGAGAATGTTTGGCTCTGGCTAAAGTATATGCCAGCAAATTAATGCGCTAGTATGAGTGTTATAATGATGAGTATAAAGTGAATCAGTATAACGTGAAGTTGCAGGTGTTTCTGTAAGTGGGCCATGTTGACCCAGATGGGCCTCTCCATTGACCCCTGGATGTTAGTGGATGTCATTGATTGCATGCTATTGATTTTCTGTGGCACAACTGGATAGGTTTATAAATCATATATGTTCTGATTGATTTTACGTTTGCAAGGGAAATGACAAAAAAACTAATTGCAGTTGGATATGCTCAATCTCTTTTGAATTTGGTTGGCCTGTGTTTAATACAGTACATCACCATGGCATGGTATGCAATTATGTTTAGTTTATCTAAAGAGCCAGTCCCTTGATAGATTTTTATAAATAATTTACAACATTTTTTATGAGATCTCCTAAAATAGTTGCTGTCTAGGGAACAGTTGTGCTGTTTTACAATACAAACCTCATACTCTTCTGGGGGTATACTTTGCTTTCCTCATTGCTTTTTGAAATTGGAAACGTCAATTCAATAAAAACAGTAATGACACTTGAGAAACATTTTGGTTACTGTGATCATATTTCAAATTCAACTGTTTCATTTGAGACAGTTAATAAAGGGCTGCAGGGAGTCCTTTAAGATTGTGGAATGACATACCAGTCCTGTCTGATGCAATACAGACCACTGCAGAAAAAAGTTATGTTGATCATGAAAAAGTTGGGCCTGTACCGTACTGTATGTATGTGGCAGTAGCATACGGTACACATCATGTCATTATATATAACTTTACAAAAAAAGTAAAGTTGTATCTCAAATCAGAATTTTTTTCGGTCCTCAGATTTGTTCAGAATCCCTGTTTTCAATATAGATTTTTAAGTGTTGATGAAAAATCAGTAACAACTGACATGCAACTTACTGACACAACTCATATAGTATATGAACATTTAATTGGACTATTTTATTCATGAGGGGTTACATATTGATGTTATATAGAAAAAAAGGTGCAGAGAAATGACTGTATGATGTGTCTGACATAATGGTGCTGCCCTGTAGAATATATATTTAGAACTAGAAATGTCATCATCTTTTCCCAAAGTTTTGATTAATCGGTCAGTCTTCAACACAAAAAATTCTAGAATGCGGATAAGAATTCCAAAACATACACTTTGGAGGTAAAGGTTCACATGCATCATATGCACTGGGCACAACAACAAAATTAGACAGCAAACACATTTTGTAATTGTAATTTAACATATTTTTGATATTTTCTCAATGTCAATGTTAATTCTAGATACAGTAGTAGTGTAATCTCGACTGTGTCAATGCAAACGTATGTGGTCGGGTTAGGTTAAAGAGCAAAAAGAGAGATGTCGATGTGAAAACAATATGTGGTTAAAAATGTATGTACAGTGAAAGTCTAATCCTCAGCCACTTTCATTTCAGTCCAATGTAACTCTGTTTCCATGGCAACCTCTCTTTGAGCGTTCAGGATTGCAGCACTGCACCTGAACTTAGATTTTATTCCTATGGTATGGAGGAAACTGTAATGCAATGTAATTTTCAGTAATACACCAGTGAACATGTGGTAACCGTACACAAAACAAAAGAGGTCTACTGACAAAATAACCTGATATTAAGAGAACTACTTTTTCTGAGCTCAAATTAGGAGGTGGAATCGTGAGAGCTACCATGAGGTGTTACAGGGCTTAATGGGTGCCAGAACAAGTGAATAAAGTCTGAGCCAGATAGAATGTGTGATAAAATATTAATTCAGAGACTTGGCATTTACTGGTTTTAGCTAACATCAGCATGTCCAAGTTTTACAGGTACATTGTTTTTTACGTGTTCATAGAAAATCAGCTCTCTCACTCAGTATTTCTCCATATTCACATAATGAGCTTATGAAATGACATCGTCATCACAACCTCTCATGAAATCATAAACTCAAAGTCATCACCACATGGCTTCCCATCTGTTAGATTATCAGAGATTTGAACATAGTCACTGCATGCATGAAATTATTTTATGAGAGTGTTATAATATAATAATATAAAAAACGTACGTTTCAACATATCCTTCATCAGGGAGTACTGATTCAAGTATTATAACATTGTCATGTACATATTTGAAATTGATATAACAGATAAGATTGTTTAATCCAAATTGTTAAGGTTTAGTTAACTGTTCCTTCTATAAAAGTTGTTTTTTTAAAACATAGCGGGGAACACTATACGGAATCACTGAGTTGCAATAACATTTTCTTTGTATTATGCAGACGTGAAATTGCTCAGACTGCAATTGCTTTACCACTCTTCTGTTCGAATGGTACGCCAATTATACACAGTACATCTAACATGCAATTTTGTACTTTAGTCCCATTCTCTATCTTTGATCAGCTCAGTTACATTACAAACAGGCTGGGATTTTAATTTCATGGCAAGCTGACTTTGAATGTGTGATTGACTAGAGGAAGAACGCTGTCACCAACACGTTTCTCCCTGAAAAGTTGTGTGTGGTACTTTATTAACAAGACACTTCGCAGTTCAGCAAAACAAACATTTTGTGATGCACTTAATTTAAGTTTTGTGTTCGCTCATCAATTATGTTTAGAAAAGCAGTGGCTGCCACATCAGCAGAAAATGAGCTCTGTGAGAAGACTGCGATGTGACTTTCATGCAAACGCTAATGATTGATGGGCTATTGGGAACATGCTGTTGCATTTACATGATGCTAACAAGGCGTTTACAAATATTTTCCGAACAACTCCAGCCGAAAGCTACAGTGGAACACTTTGTTAGACTATTTGAAAAGAGCAATTCCCATATTATTCTGGTCAAAGGTAGTGCACTACATAGGGAATAGGGTGGCATTTGGGACATGGTCCATAACTAGTTAGCTGTGCGTTGACGTGGCATATTTTCTTGGCTTCCTCTATGCCCCCTTCATGGCAGCCCAAGCCTTTTTCACGATTCACTGGTATTGGAGAAAAAATAGAATCTCCCTTGTTATTGTTTTTCTGCTATTTGTTCATGCTAAGACGTGTGGGTGGCATGAGACTGTTGTGGACTTGAATTGATTTAAAGTACACTTGATGTTTATTCATGTGTATCTGTGAGCATATAAATACAGTATGTTTGTCTTGTGGAAATTCTAGTATTGGATAAAGAAAGTGTTTTTAGAGTTACACGTAGTCTCACAGTTTGGCTTATCCTGTACCAAATATTTTGCCAGTTGAATCACTTCACTAGTATAATGCATTGGATATGGAAACCTTGGAAATTATGTTATTACCATGTTTCAATGTACATCATGATTTATGAGCCTCTTGAATTATATTTCTGTACTTGCAATGGATTTTCCCATCTTTGGCTCAATGTTGAATATTAAACAGAAATGCTGCATATTGGACAAAAAGTATGAAAAAGATAAATGTGTAATGCATAACTAAGACAGAGCGGGTATATTGCCTGATGTCTTACGTCATGTCACTGGCTGCTCTGTCCCGAGAGAGCCCGCTTCCCCGATCTATCCAGACTGACTTGCTGCAGCCTGGTAGAAGCAACGACCAGTTCTATGAGGGCCCAGGGAGACCTCATCCCAAAACACGATGACCACGCCGTTTGGGGTTGAAGAGCTGATACACCCAGGAAAAATTGGTTAATGCCGTATGCTTTCCCTCATCATCTTCAAGCCCCTCAATGACCAGTGATAGAATAAAAAGTAAAGAGACAGGCCCGCGACTCTTGAAAAACAGTGCCAACCCCTTATGCACTCTCTCTGTTTTACAGTTGGCCCGTCTTTTCGTGGAGAAGTGGTGTGACTATACATTTACATTTTTTACATTTTAGTCATTTAGCAGACGCTCTTATCCAGAGCGACTTACAGTTAGTGAATACATATCTTCTTTCTTTTTTTTTTATACTGGCCCCCCGTGGGAATCGAACCCACAACCCTGGCGTTACAAACGCCATGCTCTATCAACTGAGCTACATCCCTGCCGGCCATTCCCTCCCCTACCCTGGACGACGCTGGGCCAATTGTGCGCCGCCCATGAGTCTCCCGGTCGCGGCCGGCTGCGACAGAGCCTATACAGATTGTTCTTTCCTACAATCTGTTTTTCCATGGTCCTATGTTCCTTGCAGGAACTTGCTCTACCAGCCACTGTTCGCGCCCGCAGCCTGTCCAGGGTTTTTTCATTCAGGTTAATGTGCCTATGGCTTTTGACCTGTCGGCTTCCCTAGAAGAGCGTCCACGTCGTTGTCCAGTATGCACGGTGGGCGTCTACTTGAACTGTAGGAGAGCTCGGGCAAGAGGGTCATGCTCTTCGCTCATTGGGCAACCACCCTCAGAAGATATCTGACGATATCCTGCCTGGATTATGGGACTATTATTTTGATTTATAATAGCAAGGGTGACAACCTTTGGAGGGGCCTGGAAGGGCCCTCTCCCACATAGGAGTTTACCTCTTGGGCACTGTTTTAGGGACATGTCCCATTAAACTAAGATTGTATGCGCTTTGTATTGTGCTTCCCCTCACTTTGTTATGAGTTTCTTAGTTTCAGGACTTCTGAGGGTTGCTGATGTTGGGAATACTCTGGCTTCGGAGGGCATGTTTCGAGATATGGGAGTTGGCCATATCCCCACATTTGAGATATCGAAACGAATAATTGAAAGAGAACTTATGGTTACTTGCGTAACCCTGCTTCTCTGATATCATGAGTGAGATGTCTCACCGCATTCCCCTGCTCACAAGAGCGTGAGGAAGAGAAGCATGCTTGAGAATAACCAGAGGGCGGGAGAGTGGCTCCTTTTAAGGGAGGTGAGGGTCTCACCTCATTCGCCACTCTACCAATCTGTCCCCAACAGAAGCTTT